TCAACTTCTTGTGTTAATTACCACATAGCTGTTGAGCTGAATCATTTGTGGTGGAACAGGGAAAGAACTAAGCTACACAGGGCTGCGGGCCTCCAGGACTGCAGTTTGACACCCCAGCTATATATCAATTCAATTCAATTCAATTTTATTTATATAGCGCATTATCACAACATTACATTGTCTCAATGCGCTTTACATTTCTGCCTCGTAAGGACCCCCCATTGAGTAAGCCAAAGGCAACGGTGGCAAGGAAAAACTCCCTAAGAGGAAGAAACCTTGGGAGGAACCAGACCCAAAGGGGGAGCCCATCCTCCAGGGGCCGGCAGATGAGTCAAACAAACAAGATGAAATGACTAAGCTGATGACTAGTTTTCATCACTATCCAATGAAAAACGTGTATGACAATTGTGAATTTTTACTATAGCTGGAGTAGTCCTATTCTTCTCTGTCTACTGATAGTGTTTTACATATAATTGACTGATGCAAAGATGCTTTTTGAAGTCAACTATTTAACTAGTATTTGTGTTTATACTAGTTAAGATTTGTATTCATGATAGCTTTTGTATGAATGACTTTGTACTGCTACTTTTAACAACTTAAAGCTGATAGCTAAAGAGCTAGCTAACTAAAATCATTGTTAATCGTGAACATAAAGTGAAATCGTTTTGTATCTTGCTGACATTGACATACAGTATTTGCCTTGCTGACAACAATCCACGTCCATTTAAAACATTAAACCATTCACTGTCGACTATGAAAAGATATTTGCAGTGTCTCATAACATTATGTCAGGTTTGTTTTGTAAAGTAGTTTCTAAGAAAATGTGTTTTTCTTATTTCTGAAATAATGAATTTTTTCAGGTATGTGTTTTTCATTGGACAGAGTCAATATGCTGTCCCTTGGGGATGGTAATTGCAAACCTATAATATGGATTATCATTTTTACACTGACAATGCAAATTCCAATATATATGTGAAACCCAGTAGGACTTTCTAAACTCTCTAAATTTTACTTTAAAATTTCAACTCCCTAAACCCCTTTAAAGGGCATTAGGCACTGTGGGACACAAAATGTCCCCCTGCTGAAATTATTTTAGCAAGTCCAAAGTTACTCATGCATACTTTGTCAGGTTTTAAGCTGAAACTGAATGGCTTGATTGAAGAGGAAAAAAAAAGATCAATGTAACAACTGACAGGAACTTGACTCTAGAATCTAGAAATATATCTATAGTGGCTTTCTTTCTGTATTTTCCTTCAATTGTAATACATAGTCAAGGTCAAATACGTGCCATCTGATACACAAAAGCCAGTGTAGGCATTATTTACCAAATAATAAAATAATAAAAAAAAAAATATATATTTTTTTTTATTTACCTCTGTCTGCTGTTTGGCTGCACAAATGCGCCCTCAGAGCAGTTATAGGCATCTTAGGGCATCTTACTACAATCAGCATGAACATTTTATCACTGAGCTTGATTCCCTGCTTTGGCCGCCTGCCAAATTTACAGTAGGATATAAAATATTGTTTCTCATATGTCTTGAAATGACTCCTATAAGTTACTGCATGGGACAGTGATTGTCATACAGTACAAAAAATGCAGCAGAACTCTGTTTATGGAGAGGAAATCCCAGCCAGTCATTCCTGAATCAAATGAAAATGGTAGGTTTACCCAATCACATTTTTGAAGGAGAATAAAATGTGCATTTAAAATGACAATATTGGGATGTTTTTTTTCCAAATCATGGCATGTGGGTTTTTTCTCCTTCATTGCCTGTTATAAATTTTATTATAAATCACCATGAAATGTTTGTACTATTCTGTGGTGGGTCAACAATGACAACTAATCATCTTCACTTAAATACAGCACTTTCTAGGTTGCCTTAAACCCCCCTATATATGATACATTATAATATTTTTCTGGTGTCATAGCCAAGATTAACAAAACAATCAATCTACGGTGTGGGTATGTGCAGCAGAGGTAAAACCCTTTACTAGTTTACTCAAACGTTCCAAAATGTCCATCTGTCAAGCACAAGGACCTACATCCCATCTCTGGCTTCCCCACGGCCCAGCAAGACCAGGTGTAGAGTCAGACCTGGGAGGTGATGTACCTCTGGCACCCAATCATAGAGAGATCATGGCTTCAGATGTTGCTGGTAAAGCATTGAGAGTGTGGGAGAGTAACCGGCTTATTCCACACTTCCCACAATCCCGTGGGGCACATGGAGAAAATGCCCAGGCATGCACTGTGCCCCACCTAAGTGTCCTGTTCTGAATTTAGTCAGGACTGTGATGACCAAGGTGGCACTGGGGATCTCTCTGGTTGGCCAGTCACACAATCCTCTAACTAATCACGTGACCAAATGAGGACAGACAGGGTGCTTCTGAGTGGGCATCTAAAAATGAATCCAGAAGAAAATATAAATGTTTAATCCAATTAAGACCAATAAGGGAAGATTGACAAATGTCATTTATATTGATCATTTTATTGCTGCTCTCATTTTTATTGGAGAGTTTAACAAATCAAATATCCACTTTTCACCACTGAGACTGAGCAGTAAAAGTTTCTCTATAATCAACAGTGATTAAATAGTATAATAAGTATAATGAAAAATGTATTGTCAAAAAGAACATTTATTTGAATGTAAATAATGCAGTTTGTGGACCTATCGTGCAAAACGGTGCCATAATGTATCCTAGAAAAAAAAATACACAGAAATGTTCCTTGCATTGGGGGGGGGGCAGTCCTTAAAAGGGTAGTCATTCACATTTTCACATTAAATGTTTGTTTGGCAAATAATCTGAAAATATTATAGATTACAAAGCTTATATTGTTCATTTATGTTTTGTAATATGTCATGCAATTTGAAAATCAGGATATTTGAAACATGAATCAAATCAGTCTTTAAATTTTATTTTTAGAAGTTGTGATAAGTTGTCGATGATAAAGACAACGCCGCTGCCTAATCTGATTGGGTGGTTCCACTGGTGATACCTCCAGTTTTTGTATTTGCAGACTGATGTCATGTGTCTTCTCTGCCTTAGTTCAAAGACATACAGGTACGTTAACTGGCATCTCTAACACACATCCCTTTCGCTGTGTGTGGGTATAATACGCACTACCATGGCCCCTCATTCAGGGCATTCCCACCTCAGCCATGACCTGGAAGAGTGGTTGGAAGCCGGAGAGATTATCTGACTGTTTTAGGTCATAATAATATATTTTAATGGTTCCATCTTTTTAAAATAGATTGGTTAAAGGCAGGTTATTGTTAATGTTGCTAAAAGCCAGTAAAAGTTATATTTCTGTGTAAAGTTTACCTTGGAGAGTCGGCTATCGTGACTTGCCGACTTAATCAAGCGGCGCATTGGACTCCTGTTATCATTAAAACCGGTCCCTGGAGCTCATGAATGTTTCATAGAATGACGCTTAGCTAACTTTCTCTGCTGCTTTAAAAGCACAGCCAGCGTTACTTACACATGGTGTCACCAGGGCTAATGCATATCAAGCACCATCAGTGTGTCTCACACACGCTTGTGTGTTCATTTTATACAGCTCACTTTTGTCCTTTCATACAAGTGCTTAAAACCAGTAAAAACAGATTTTTTTACAAACCCATCACAGGGCACACTCACATCATTCGCACCTACAGGCAAATTGGTATCTCCTATTAACCTCAGCATGTTTTTGGACTGTGGGGGGAAACCGGGGAACCCAAAGGAAATCTCACAGTGACTTGGGGAGAACATGAAGACTCCACACACTTGGAACCCAGGCGGAGACTCGAACCCAGATGTGTGAGACAGTGCTAACCACTTGGTGACCCTCAGATACTGTGAAGGGGGACACTCTTGCAAAAGGAGCATGTGCTCAGGCTCTCTCAGGCAACCCATCTCCCTGCCTTGCGAACACTGTTTACTTGTAAGTCTTTTTTTTCTTTTCTTGATTGTGCGGTACAGTACTGTTTGTGGTATATCTGTGTATTAGCAGCCTGTCCAGAGCGCCCCCTGCCTTCCTGGGAAAGGCTCCAAGCTGACGTTGATGCATTTAGAAGACAGACAGACGAATGGTAGCCCTTCGTCCTTTGCTTAGTGTTGTATAACATGCTAGTATACAGCATTAGCCACACTGGGAAAATTCACATTCTTGCTCGGATTCAGCTGCACCACCAAGCCTGAGATGTGGATAGAATCACATTAGATCAGCTGCTTTAGCCCCGGACCTACGGGTCTGTGCCTGTGTATTATGTCACCTCTTCACAAACCCTACTGCTGACACAACAACTGGGGTGGTTTTGTGAAAAGAAAAATCATTCTTAGGGTTGCTGTGACAAATATATCAAATAGAGACTGGTCAGCATTATGGAACTGACTAATCTCAGAACAGGGGCTGCAGGATGGTTCTGTTCACCATTAGAAAAAGTCCAGATCAATTTCCAAAATGGAGAATGAAAGAATTTAGTTAAAAATACCTCGGATAACATTTTATTACCTTTAATACTCCCAATGTTATGTTACAAACAGCCGCTAATACATTGTTCCCATAAAAGCAAGTTTTGAAAGAGCTTATCTTTAGCCACAGATCAGTATGACAGTACAAATATAGACTTTTAAATGTGTTTATTTCATGCATATTGCCTGAAGCAATATGCATGAAATAATGAATGTCACTCCTGTGCCCAGGTGTATGGGATGTCAGCCCAACATTGAGCAGATACACACTTACACAGGAACACACCTTAAATGTCATGTCTTTGGCCTATGGGAACAAACCAACACAAACACAGAGCTGGTATAAACAGGATAAGCTAATTAGCAAACTGTTCCATTTCATATTCTCACATCTTTCATCAGTAAAAGGAGGTGGATTATGAAGCTCAGAGGGTATTTTAGTACCATGTTTCTATGTGTGTTATGTGCATATAAACCTGTAAATATACCACAGACATTTATAAGCCCAGACCTCTACCCATTAGTCAGCCAGAGTTAGAGACGAATGAGAGAGCGTGTATGTGGGGGGTAAAGGGGGATCTAGAGAAGAGGCTTTTAAAGGATTTGACAATGATTTGTAGCATCACAGTACTGAGCAATGTTGTGCTTTTCATTTGACTTTAAATATGAGTACAGGAGAGTCTAAAAAACTGGGTTTTCGCTACATGTAGAACTTGAACCCAAACGAAAAATGTTTGCAAGAGGCATGTACAGTAAAATTCAAGATTCTTCAGTGCACCTTTAGAGGGGAGCGTGCGCGCGATGTCTCGGATGGAAGACGCTTTCCTGGCTCTTTCAAAACCATTCGGCAGTTTCTAGTGTTATATATTACGTGTCAGTCGATTTGCAGTAGTATTTAATCTGCCTTCCGGGATTTGACGTCTAAATTGAGTGTAAGAACAAATTTACGAAACGTCAAGATGCGGTTTTCAGGTAAGATATCGGAATAATAATTTCGCATTTTTTCCTGTTAAAGTAACTGTCCCCCTTTTCCGCAAATTTAAATGTCTGGTAATTCTTCTAATCGTTTTATAATCAAGGTAAGAAAAATGATGGAAACTGTCCTCGCGTCTCATTAACTGGAACCCGATCGTTCGCTGCGTAGTTGAATACTTTGCCAGTAAAGCAGCGTTTTCGTTTCATTTGAAATTAACGGACATATGACCTACGTATGGTACGTGTATGATCACCTGCATATTAAAATATATGATGAAGTATTCTTTAAAACTGATAAGAATAATTTTAAGTTGCTTACTTAGTTTACAATTCGGTGGTTGATCGCAGATTTGAATAACTGGGAGCTAAACCCTGCTTCTTAGCAGCCTGTCTATCTACGCGTGTGGTTCTTCAGGTGTTAATATGTCATTTTTTTGTAACTTCTGAACTTGCTCACATTGCCAAATCTGCGTCATTTTCGTTGTTTACTTTGCAAATCTGTCAGGGATTTGATTAAAAACCACTTTTATCATTCATATCAACAAGTCAGTTGCTTAATGTTCTATGGTTGAAGAACAATAGCAACTTCGGGCACAGACTTCTATGAGCTCATATGCAAAGATCTAAAAAGTGCAAATGTTTCATTGAACTCTTTGGAGTTATTTGTCATGAAGCGTTTTTCATTAAGGACCCTCTAGATTGTTAATTACAGTAGCATGGGCTCCAGTGCCTGTATTTATCATCATGCCGATTTAATCTCGCTCCTCCAAGTAAACTGTCGCTTCTTCTCACGCTGCATTGCCGTACAGAGATCGATGAATCTGTGCTGTTAATGCAGACATTTTTCTCTTATATCGCGCAAGCTTCAGTAAAGCCCGTTTATTCCACGCTGTTCTGTAATCTCTGGCTATGTTAAGTGCTGAAATTCATGGGATCAGGGAACATACATTTTCTGCATATCTCAAGCTGGGAATGTAATAGAAAAATATTCTTGTTCAAGTTTTGATTCATATGGAAGTATTTATTTAACTGCATTCTTACACTGTTTTTAATTGCTGTTGGTCTACCATTATTAGGATGTCTACGGAGTTAAGTGCTTATTTTTTCTTCTTAAAAGGGGTTTAAACAGTTGGAGAACTTGGAAAAATTCAGCCCTATTACTTCAACACGATGATACCTAAAGCCCTTGCAGGGCAGTGCAAGTAATTACCCCTTATGACTAGAGCAGGGTTCTCCAAGTCCAGTCCAGGAGGACCAGAATTTGCAGACTTCCCTGCTCAACACACCTACTTAACCTCGTAATTAGCTGATTAAGACGTGTTTGAGCAGGGAAATCTGCAAACCGTGTTGGATTTTGGGCCAGCAGGACCAGAACTGGGGAACATGGGTCGAAGTGTTAATAACTAAAGATTATTTAATAACATTTAAAGATTATTACTAGATGTTAGCTGTCTAGCACCTGACAAAGAGTCCTAGTTTCTCTTACATTTCAGATTAGCCTTAATATGATGGATTATATCAAAGGTTTTGTCCCGTGTGATGTGTGGGAAATGCATGCAAATGAAATCAGTTCTCATTGCTTTGAATTCACTTCATTGCAATACAAACATCATGTAAACTATAAAAAACAATTCTTCAAGTAACAAGGCATTATGGTAATGAACCAGGCATTAGAACAGGGCTCTCCAACTCCGGTCCTGGAGAGCTACTATCCAGTAAGTTTTCTATCCTACCTGACTTCTAATGAGCCACACCTGGCCTGGTATTTACCTGAGAACAGGTGTGGCTCATCAGAAGCCAGGTTGGAGACCCCTGCATTAGAACCTAAAGCTCGGCAAGTTAATACAGGTTGGAAATGGTGTGCTACCACTGAGCAGGTGCTGGACGAAATCAGTTAAATGTTCAGCCACATAACTGGTTAAAACCGGGGAACAGTGGCAGTCATTTAGTGATTAAGGTCTTGAAACCCATAGATTGCTGTTCAAGACCCAGAAGGATCCCTGCCCTTCTATACTCAAGGGAGAATATTTAAATCACTACAATAAAAATATCACTCCATAAAAATGGGTAGAAATTATAAATTGCTTTGGATAAAAATGTCCACATGTAATGTAAATATTAGCATGGCAGCCCCTGAGTGCAGGACCTTCAGGATACAAATAAAACAACCATCCTGCATTTAAGGTACTTTCTGTCCTGCTCTCATGCAATCCACTATCAGCTGGCTTTGAAAAAGAGACCCATCCAAAAAGCACCATCTACATTTAAACATTTTCAATAAATGTTAGTCTTTAGTTTTTTTACATTTACACCCCTTCCACAGTAAAAAGAAACATAATTTAGAGCAGAGGTCCCCAGCTATTTTTCCCAGCAGGTATCAGCAACATAAAGCCAAGGTCCAGTGCGTCCGAAACAATTTGCCAACTTGGGTGAGGGGAGTCACTTGTGTGGCCCAGATTCAGTTGTATTTCGGTCCGGATGTAGCCAGTTGGTAACCACTGATTAAAAGCAGTCCAAATCTTCAAATTGCCCTTAGCATGTGTGTGTATGTGTATGTGTGCGTGTGGTCCTGGGTGATGGTGGTGCAGGAGATAGTGCTACCATTTGGCAACCAGAGGGTTGTGGGTTTGAGCCCTGGCTCCTCCTGACCCTATCGAAGTGTCCTTGAGCAAGACACTGAACCCCAAATTGTTCCCGGTGAGCAGATTGGTGCCTTGCGTAGCAGCCTCTGCCATTGGTGTGTGAATGAGAGTGTGAATATGAGGCAAAAAATGTGAAGTGCTTTGAGTGCTCGTAGGAGTAGAAAATGCGCTATATAAATGCAATCCATTACATTGTGGGGACCAAATGTCCCCACAATGTCATGAATGCCCATTTTTGACCTTATGGGAAAACTCAATTTTCTAAAAATCCATGACTGCAATCAAAAAACTATGACAAATGGCAAAAGTCTAACATTTTATTAGGTTTCCTATGGTTATAGTTAGAGTTGATTAGAGGCTAAGGATGTCATACAGTAGTTAGCATTAGCATTTTTCCCATAAGAACATAAATTTACAAATGAGAGGAGGCCATTCGACCCATCAAGCTCGTTTGGGAAAAACTTAACTAATAGCTCAAAGTTGTTAAAATCTTATCTAGCTCCGATTTAAAGGAATCCAAGGTTTTAGCTTGCACTGCACTGACAGGAAGAGTACTCCATACTTTCAGGTCTTTCTCAATTCCAGTTTAAAATGTTTTTCAACTAATTACCACCTATGCATGGGTGTCGCCACCATTAACGTCCCCCTCACATTTCATAATTATTCGTTTAGGACCCCCCCACATTTAACATAAAATATTAGTTCACCCAGCGCTGTTTCTATTGCTTCGCCTCATGGAAAAAGTTGGTGAAACTGAACACAATACAAAATACTGCACATGTGTTTCTCTCTAACTTAAGAAACAGGTTCACAGCAGAAAAAGAAGCATTGATCCTAGCATCTCCCTCAGACCCACAGAAGAAACTCAATTTGATAACTGTAAGTTAGTTACAAGTGACTAGAACAGCCTTTTCCCTGACCTCACTCCTCCCCCGAAACATCCACACCCTCCTGCGTTTCACAATCACATTTTGGTGTTGATATTCCTGTTTATGTTTTTCATAGCTGAAAATCATTTTTAGACCTTGACTGTGTTCGACCGTCTTCCTGATGTTGATTCATAGGGAATTTTTGGGAAATAAACCATTTCAGGGTAGCTTCACGGAAGACACTGTCAGAGTTATGACTCCAGATACATGGCTACAGGGGGAATTGCACCTCTCCCTGCTTACTTAGTGCGATTCTGGCCCGTGCCTTGTGGAACCTTAAAAGTCCATGGGGGTGAGGCATTGCCTCTGTCATTGTGCCGGTGCGGATGGGCCTTGGGTGGTTGCTGTAGCTGGATGATGCGGGTTGCTGGCCTATTTGCCTGAGTGCACTGGTTAGCACAGCTTTAATCTGGGACGGTTCACCTTTACAGACAAGAGCTTTTTTTAGGTCTGGGCCTTGGCTGAATAATCAGGTAGAGTGTGTCACTCACACAAAATGTGGTCTTAAGTCGATACCAAATGTCTGCATTACTGCAAGCAGTGTATGTGCAGCGTGACTCATCCTAACTGCTTTTAATAGTCCAGAATGGCCGGATACCAGGTCTACATGCATCACTTTAATTACTGCACATGTATAATCCTTTGTATTTTCTATTCTGTTTAGTATAGTTACCAAGCAAACAAAAAGCAAGACTGAAGCACTATTTCATTTTAAAAGGTGCTTTTAAAATAACTAAATATTTAATATAAAACTCATCACCCACTTTGGGGAAAAAATCCACACATTTTTTTCATAAAATGGCTTTTCCCTATAATCAAGATTAGGGCTGCTCTGTGTTTCTTCTGTCCCACGGGTACTTTTTGGGTAATTATAAAATTTTTTGGTTTGTTTGTCAGAGCTAACTGTCACATATAATTTCATCAAGAACAAACTAGTCATAACATAGCACAGCACAGTAAGACATCAATATTATGGAGGTACGCTCAAAATGTGGCACATTTAAGGGTTTCTTTACAGTGAGAGAAAAGCCTCCTTGCTGCCAGTCGGGTCATTCCCCAACATCTGGAGAAGAGAAACTTAAGACACAACATGAGAAATGGAAGCAGTACTTGCCAACTTGGCACCGTAATGCTCTAGTAAGCAAGACCATGTTGCCTGAACTCGTTCCCGAAGTTAAGCCGCATCCAGTGCACTGCCAGTGGAGCGAACCGGTTCGTGGAAGTGAGGGAGGGAAAAGACAACCTACTCAAGAGTCGCCCAGAGGAATAATGAATGGAAGGGATGACAAAAAGAAATTCGGACATGAGACAGCTGTGGGCCATAGCATCATGAAATGACCAAAGACAAGCGCCATTGGCCAAAGCCTTCCAGAGCATTTCCATCACAGCAGGTGCTCTACTGCATGTATTTTTTCCCCCAGAAAGA